GAGGAGGTGTTAAGGGTTTGAAAGTGTTGCTAACTCTGACAAAATTGATGTTGACCTTGGCCTATGTGTAGACAGTATTTTCACAAATGATATTCAGAGTAAGGTAGGACATGAACCCAGTGAACAGAGGTCACTTTGTTGGAGAGCAGCAACTGCAAGAACTTCAGGGTTTTAAGCATGAAACAGCAGGCCTGTGTTTTATAGGGAGGAGCAAACAGGAGGAGATGAAGGATGATGGAAGGACACCATCTGCTCCTATAGCAGAACATCTTTCCCTGAGGCCAGCCAGTCCTTAGAGTGTCAGTAAAGGAGGTGTCATTTGCTAATTTTTATTGGACATGGTCAGTGATCACAGAACTGGAGGAAGCAGAGAACACAAAGGACAGTTTGGTTCATGAGTATTCAGTTTCTTGTGATGAATTAACTATGGATTTTCAGGTATAAAATGTGGTAACTGAAAGTTTATTCTTACCTTGTTGTGGCATAAAATGTGGAAACTGAAAGTTTATTCTTACCTTGTTGTAGATTTCAAAGGGAAGGACATCTAAGTGTAAAGAGAACAGGAAAAATGGTGAGGTTGTTCTCTTTATACACCAGTGTTCACAAGGAGTACTTGGGTAATCCTGGGTAATTTTTCTAATATTTGCTTTTATATTCAGATCATTAGTCTAGTCACAATGTAGTTTTTGACAATTCAGAATGTCTGTCTTGTCAGTGGAAAAAATATATATTTTTGTGATGTGCCTGCTGGATAAAATGGCTTACTAATTTCAGAGTTCATTTGTGTTATTCTTCATCCAAGGTTCTGCTATGGAGTAAGTAAAACTCAGAATGTCCTGAGCAATAGGAGAGTACTTGGTTGTTTGTTCTTTGTCTTTTTTAGGTAGTGTCTTTATTGTCCTAGTAAGATGGTGCACAGTGCCATCACCAGATATCTTCAAGATAGGAAATGGTGCTCTGCTTCAGTGACTCACTCCTGCTAGTCTATCTAGAAAGTAGAGATCAGGAGGATCATGGTTTGAAGCAAGTACTGGAATTACTAGCCAGCCTGAGCAAACCATTTGCAAAAACTATCTCAAAAATACTGAACACAATGATGGGCTGTTGGAGCGGCTCACAAGATACAGCACTTACCTAGCAAGTGTGAAGCCCTGGATTCAAACCCCAATACCACAAAAAATGAGGAAAGGTGACCATATGGAGCAGAAAAATTGGGACTGGAACCTATGATACTGTCAGTGTTTTGGTACTCAGTGCTAAACATATTGAATGTCTACAGTTCTGCATGCTAGACAGTCCTCAGAATTAAAACATAAGATGCCCATTGGTTTTGGGGAATTCACTTGAGTTTAGCAATGGCAGGAAAGGATAGCACAGTTCTGAATAATGAATTGGCTCTGGATGAGAGTTTGACACCTTTCAAAATGAGAACTTGTCATAGTGAGTCATTTCATTGTCTAAGTGGGGAATATTGTGTGTGTGGAGATTCCCAAGTGAAATTTCCTCCTTTTGTAGGTTCCTCTCACTCCCTTCCTCAAAGTGAGCCATGATGGGCTGTATCTGAACAGAGACAGTGGTCTTTAAGTTTAAAAATGACTACAACCTTCTCTTCATGTAGTGTAGGCACAACAGGCTGCATCCTTGAGCAGCTTCCCTTTTGTTTCTTTTTTAGAATCTTTTTTCTTTGAAATTGCAGTTTACTTAAGCAGTTAGGAATTTTTTGTGCTCTTTGCCTGTAAGATTTTAATGATGAAATGATGCCTTAGCATGCAAGTTTCATAAATTTTATTCAGAATTGGGAAAAATTCTTTTATGGATACTTGGATGAAATAAAATTTAGTTAGATAAATTTGATGGTATATGAATTTATCACTTGATCTTTGTTTTTCCTTATGTTTTGTCCTTGGACAATGAGGGAACTTTACTAACAAACTGCTCAGAAACACAGCTGATTGCACCCCTTGCTTACTGACTAACCTGGAGCACTGTGTCAAGCAAGGAAAACTCTGAGGTTCTTCTAGGCAATCCTCTACTCCTCCCCACATGTGCAGTCCACTGCACCCACCCAACTGACCACCAGTAGCTGATGTCTGTGACAAGGTCTCAAGGACAATATCCTTCCCTGTTTTACTCTGTCCTGACAGGCTCTCTCACACATTTTTGAGCATGGACATGGGCATTTGGAGCTGAAGCCAGGTTCACAATTATTTAGTGCTATTTTAGTTATTTTTCATGTAGGTCCTCCCATTTTGAGCTGCCTCATAACTATAATCCTTCCACAGATACCTCCAACATAGTTGAAATTATTTGCAAATACCATCTTACAGGGTTATTGTCTGAGATGATGTTGCATTAACTTTTTCCCAGGTTGTTCTCAAATCATGATCCTATCAATATTTGTCTCCTGAGTAAATGAGTTGACAGGCCTGAGCCACCACAAACCAGCACATACTATGATATTCCTGAATTACAATTTTATCCTCATCACAATCATCAAAGTTTACAAAAATGCACTCCTTTTTTCCATTGCCTCTGAAACTGTGACTTCAGGCACTTCATTTTTGCCATCCTTTACAAAACCATCTTATAATTGATAATTTTCAACATCTCTTTAATGCTACCAAAAAAGATGTATTACACATCTTTTGGTGGAATTCGTTTTTGAACCCAGGACTTTGCACTTGTAAATCATGTGCTCTACTTCTTCAGCCACACTTCCTCCTCACATTTAAGAGATGACTTGGAGTTGGAGAATCTTCTCTTTTGGCAGCTCCCTATGGTTGCACACCTCTTCCTAAAGCAATTGAAATTATTCATTCTGAAAGAGAGAATGAAAATTGAAAATTATTTAAAAATTGCAATGAGTTTTTGGGAAGAAGGAAAAAGGTGGTTAGAAATAAAGATCCCAGAAAGAATGAGTACTGAAAAGAATTAAGTGAAGATACACTAAATTATTTCTTTCCCTTGGCATACTGGGGTTTATGGTTAGGGATTCTAAGTTGCTAGGCACATGTTCTAACACTTGAGCCATGCTTCCAGTCTGCAAACTCAATTATTCACATTTGTTATCATATATAAATGTAAGTGCCAGGTATTTACAGTTGCTTAGAGGGAAATAATGAATGAGAGCAACTGATATGGTATGGAAGGGAAGACATTAGAGCATTCCATGGTACTTTCATTGATCCTGACCCAGTGTAATGTTATTTGAAAGTGTACTGCAGACCTCTGATGTGCCTGCTGAGGAAGAGCTAGGCAAAAGTTCAAATGTCAGAACACAAAAATGTGGATGAAATGCTCAGTTGTATTGCTACCCAGTTTAAATCCCAGCCAGTGGGGCGGACATTGCACAATGATTTTAAGTTGGATGCCAGTCAAGGTTATTTAGTGAGATTCTGTCTCAAAATAAAAATACATAGTGTTAGCTCACCACTGGACAGCTTTCCTACCAATTACAAAGTCTTGGGCTAAAGCCAAAGTAATAACACACACAAAACAATCTGAATTAACAAAAACTGTAAATATATATTGCAAAGTGAAAGAACATTACATGTAAAAAATAGTAAAAAATATATTTGCTACACTAATAGTAAAAACTAAATGGATACAGGGAAAGCACAATTAAACAGGAACTTGAGACTGGGACTGGTGGCTCCCACCTGTCATCTAAACTTTTTTGGAGACAGTAGGAGGAGGTCAAGTTTGCCTACCACATTATTGCCATATTTGCCATGTGTCTGCTGTGGAGAATTGTCAGTTTCCCAGCTCCAGCAGCTGTGTGAAATCTTGTGACTACAGGACGGTAGGGAGGTCACCTGGAAGCATAACAGAGGAAATGCTGAGTGGCTGCACATCTGCCATGCTGGTGGAGGACAGTTGGAACCAGAAGCAGTGGTGGTTTGACTGGGCCCTGCCTTGTGGCTTCCACAAACTGCCCTGATCATATTGTTGGGTCCTTAGTTCCTCTGCCACCTTAGGGGGTTGTGGTGGACTGGGGCCTTTAACCCAGTCCTATGTCTCTGTGAAGCAGCTTCATTCCAGCTCGCAGTGCTGCTGGATTTTTCTGCCTTCAAGTCCCTATCTGGCCAACTGAGGTGGCCGGGATATCACCGTGTACTTAGCACTTTGTGCTGGGCCAAGGCCCTCCTTTGAGTGTCCCTGTAATTCCTTACTGTGACCTGGCTTCCCTCCGAGACCTTCAGATTTAAGGGAAGCATGGGGTAAACTTCGTTCTCTGTGTGTTAAATCTAGTGCTTCTTAGTGCTGCCAGTAAGTCCCTAAATTTCCACAAGTTCTGCACATTGTCAGATTCTTTGGAAATGCAGATCCACATATGCACGTGTTTGGCTTCTGAGTGGCAGGGATGCTTTTTGCCATTCCTGACTTAACTGTTAATTGTCCTTAAGTAGTTTCTAGAATACTTTTCTACAATGAAATGCTGGTTAACTTAGAATTTAAGATGTAACTTAGAATTTAAGATTTAACTTAGATTTTAAGAAAGAAAGATGGTTTGCTCTGAAATAGAGGAAAGCACAGGAGAAGAAAGAATATGGGTATTGACAGTCATGGAGTTTGGCAAAATCAGTTTTCTCCTATGATCCTCTTCGACTTGTTTGTTTCCTAGTTTTATTTTTTGGGACTGAAGTTTGAACTCATAGCTTAGCATTTACAGAGCAGGTGCTCAACTGCTTGAACCATATCTGCAATCTATTTTATCTGGTTCTTTTGGAGGTGGGGGTTCATACATGAAATAAGTAAATTGCTTTTTTTGGTAATGTGTTTTTATTTTCTTGGGTGCAAATGATTAGGTTGAAACATGAGATGTGAGGAATCCGTGGCCATCTGCTTCATTCCAGCTTCCAGAGTTTGACCATCAGCCCTACTTAGACTTCCTGTGTCCTAGCCTACCTGAGTCTCCCCTCCTGAACACACATGATGAATTTTCTCCAAGGAATATTGAATCTAGAATTCTCTGAGTAAACCTGTTGTTCCATTTTCAGGAGGAGGGTGCAAGAAGGTCACAGTGTGTATGATAAGAAGCAGGAGCTGGGTCCAGAAAGCCAGGGTAAGATTTCCTGAAAGTAGTTATCCCACAAACTAAAACATACCTCCAAGAAAGGAACCCTGATTGGCACAAACTGCTGGAGTCTGTCATTTCAAGTCACCAGTTTAGCACCACCCCCCACACCCTTTTTCTCCCCCCTCCACTACACGTTCCCATCACTCCAGGGCTTGAGGGGTTGGGCCCATTATCCATTAGCCAATCAGAGCAGCTGTTTAATCGTAGTCCACCTGCCAATGAGGAGCGACAGTGGTAGGTGATTCACAGTTGCCTCCCTCATTATCGCCATATTTACCACAAGTCTGCTGCTATTTCTCAGGCTACAGAGCTCCAGCAGCTTTGTGAAATCTTCTGCCTGCAGGAACATAGTGAGGTCACCTGGATGCGTCAGAAGTGGGAAATGGTGAGAGGCGGCTGGGCATCTGCAGTGCTGGGTGGAGGGACTGTTGTGTCCAGAAGCTGTGGTGGTTTTGACTGTGCCCTGTCCCGCCTGGAGTCTGCTCCCTGATCACGTTGTTGGGGTCTTTGGTCCATGGGCTTCTACAGGGTGGCGGTGGATCCAGAGACTTGAGCTCCGTCCTGTGTCCCTGTGTGGTGACTGCATCCCAGTACACACCCCTGCTGGGAAATTAATCTGCAAATTCCTCTTCCACAGACTGAGATGGCTGGGGAGCCTGCTGAGTACTTAGTGGAGTTTGTGCTAGGACAGAGCGCTCCTGTGCAGTGTCCCCATAAATCCTTACTGGCACCTAGCTTCCCTTTGAGTCCATCAGGTTCAAGGGAAGCCTGGGCTAAACTCCTTGCACAGTCCCTTCAATGCAGTGCTTCTCCGGGCTTCTTATTCAGTCCCTAAATTTCCATGAATCCCGCACATTGCCAGATTTATTGGAAATTCGAATCCACATGTGCACGTGGTTGGCTTCTGAGTGGAGAGGACACGTTTTTTCATTTCTGACTTAACTGTTAATTTCCACAGATCGTTTCTAGAATATTGTTTTGTAATGAAATGCTGATTAACTTAGACCATGACTTTAGAAAATTATTCTAGGGGGAAAGCCCCAAAAGAAAGGTATGCAGGTGTCACAAGGCAGAAATGCAATTGCTCTCAAAGAGACAGAAAACAAGAGAAGAAATAAATTGAGAGTGGACAGACATGGAGATTGAAAAAAACAGTTTTCTCCTGTGATCTTCATGGTTTTGTGTCCTTGTAACTTGTGTTATTTGTGGGGACCAAAGTTTGAAATCGTAGTTTTGCATTTGTAGTGCAGAGCTGAACTGCTTGAACCATATCTCCAGTCTATTTTGCTCTGGGTATTTTGTAAGTGAGGACTGGTAAACAGTTTTGCTTAGCTGATTTTGATTATCATCATGATGTCAGTCTCCCCATTACCTTGGTTTTCAGGGAGGAGCTAGCATTACTAGGATTTTCGTGATCTTTTTTGTTTTCTTCACTGCACTGCGATTTGAGTTCAGGTCTTCATGCAGGCTGGGCATGTTCTCTTACCACTTCAGTGCCACAACTAGCCTTTTCTTCTGATGGGTTTTTTTGAAATAGAGTCTCAACAATTTATTGCTAGCATGGGCTTTGAACCAAGTACCTCCTGATATCAGTCTCCTGAGCAGCTGGCATAACAGGCATGAACCCCAGGGACCTGGGTTCTTCATGATCTTATGGTGACACTACAGTGTGATTTGTTTGATGACTGAGGCTCAAATTTGTCAAATTTACTTTACAACTATTTACAAATGATTTTGAAATATTTGCAATGATTTCTTCAATCATTTTTTATGGAAAAAAAGGGCATCTTGATAGTGGGTGGAGGAATATCTGAGTTTGCAAAGGGGATAATGGGAAGAATGTTGGTTATGTGCTCCTTTTACAGTGCAGAAATGATTCAAAGTGTGGATTAATTGTAGATATTTATGAGTGTTACAGCTTCAGATTATATCATTTCACCACTTTCCTTTTGTGTTGAGCTAGATGGTTAGACAGATTCTAATTTGTGCCTCTGAAGACAAGTCTGTTAGGCTCAGGCTCAGAGAAAGACACATTTCTGTAGTTCCTGATGAACCAAAAAGTTGGTGCATTGAGAAAGTGAGGGTGTGTAGTATAAATTAAAATTTTTTCTAGCAAGAGATTCTGAAATCCTTGAAGTTTCTGAGGTAATGGAAGTGTATTTGGTTGTTTTCCTAAGCCCCATTGAAACAATAATTGCATTTATTCTAATGATTTGGCTCAGGGTGGTACCTCTCTATGACTTTAGGAAGGTGACCGGTGTGACCATACAAAGCAATCATGAGCTAGGGCTTCTTGTCTGCTTCACACTGCCCAGAAGTTGGAGGGAGTGTGCTAAGTCTGCATGGTGTCAGATTTGAATTAAAGGACAATTAGTTGGTCTTTGAAAGTTGGTTGGTGTTGGTAACACCACATATTTGTTATCAGAAGTGATGGAAAAGAAACACAGCACAGGTCCTAACATTTGGGGTCTTTGGGGAATGTTTGGTAATGGTACTAGAGTGTCCATTCTTGGTACTTTTGTCTTGTGTGAGATGAATTCAGGAGTATGGTTCATTAAGTAAAGAGTACACATTGAATAGTCTTGATAGGTACCAGATAGACATAAGCAATGTAGATATACTAAGCAAACCTAAATTTGTGGAAGATATCAGAAGGTTTCTGATAATAAACATTGGAATTTATACATCTCAATGTACATTGACAAAGATTAAGATAGTTCACTAAGGTCACAGTGTATGAAAAGGTGACTCAGTATTTCCCTCACCTTAAAGTGAGTGCATGACAAAAGTTTTGGAGTAATGGATCTTTCACAAAGACTCAAGCCCATAAATGTTATCCATTGTGGTAAGGTTGACTCAGATGATTTTGTTCATTTTAATTATGTAAAGTTGCCCTACTGTTCTACAGTGTTAACAGAATATTCTTTTTGGGTGGGGGTTGTGGGATTGGTGCTCTGTAGAGTATGGAAAATTTAAATTTCTTAGGAAGTTTTGATTGTGTATGAATTTAACTGAAGTTTTATCGATGTGTGCTTATTTTGAGATTTGCCAGTATGTGGAATATGCTAATTTATTACACTTGTCCACTTAGCATTAAAGAGCTTCTTTGAATGCTGTTGTTTGTAGTATACTGATGAGCTGTGGTTTTGAGCATTTTTCCTACTTGTTCCTTCATGTTGCTTTGGCCCTCATCTCACCTCTTCCTCTGCCTGTCATTCTTTTTGTGTTATTCCTTTGTTTTTTATAAATAGTGTTCTTTTATTAATTTGAAGTTCAGATGGTTATTATAACTTGAGTAAAATATGTGCTGTGCATTTAGCTGGTGTAGTACAATGTTGCTGAAATCCCTAATATAACTATCTATTTACTTATTTATTACTCAGGGTCTTGTGATTGTTAAGGCATGCACTATACCATTGAGCCAGTCTGATAGCTGCAGTCCTTTATTAATTATATTATCATATTTTCTCTACTCCTTTATGATACCAAGTATGTTTAAAATGTATTATTAGTAATTTCCTGAACATGGAAACTCCTTTTGTAAGTAATCTAAATGCATTTCATAAAAAGATGTGCTACTTCATGGACAGGGCAGGCATATTGGTATGTTCTCCACTGTTGTTCTTCAAGCCATATGCAACTGTTCTTACTAACTGTTCATATAGTAAGTTATGATGACCTAGTCCATAGTTCACTTTCAATGACTTTATACAAATGTTTTCCTTGAATACCAGTTGTGAGAAAGTAAAGATTTTTTGTTCATTTCTTAATTTCCTAACACTATTTTTCTTTATGAGATCTACTCTCTTAGCATATATGATTTTGTTTCTGTCTAGAGAAGTTTCAATAATTTACAAAATTCAGATATTGGTAACACATTGTCATTTTTAAATGTTTTTTTTTCTCTTCTGGCTACATAATTTCAATTACTTGTTCTTTTCATCTGTTGAGCACTTATAGTGATGGTTTCATTGAACTTGTTATGTCTCTATCTTCATAATTTCTGTATAATCCTTTGATGATTTCTAAGTCTGTACTGATATTAACTTTTTGTACATGGTATTTCCACTTTGCTGTTTCTTCAAAATGCTTGCCTACAATTCTTTGATTCTACTTTAGACAGTCAAAGAAAGGCTTTGTGAAATGAGTCCACTGCCTGAGACTTTTCAGCAATTATTATTCTTATTCTGAAAATGGAATTTTGGACTGATGGCTCAATCTCCTTAAATGCCACAATATACATCCAGCTAATTACCCTTAATTTAAAATAAAAGAAGCAGGGAAAGGAGTATTATTACACAGCTAGAGATATGCTATGGGAGGAGGCAGTGTAAGCACTGAACTCATGTTCACCATCTACTCCATACAGACATGAGATATAGATTTAAATAGGCAATAAACTGGACGCTTGGACCAAAGATATGCATAGTTAAAGGGTTCCAGTTGCAGGTGTAGTATAGTTGGTCACTCAGCTGTAGTTTTGGGAGAGATTCTGGGGTTGTTATTTAGAGGATGGTCCTTCCAAAGGAGGGTCTACTGTTGGGGGTAGATTTGGTTTCTGATCATGAAGAAAATATCTATCTTCCTCCTAGATTCCAAGGAGTTAACAAGGTGACTGCTGAGGATGGCTCAGAGAACAGACTGATTGTAAATGGAGAGATGGCATGTTTTTTCCTGATTTTAGTTGATCCATGGACTGAGTATGGAGTCTACCCTTTTTAGCAAAAGCAGTCTGAGGAACTCCTACAGTGCTTTTTGACTGATGATCCACATATCCCTGTCTCCTCATATTTGTTGTTATTTGTTCCTTGTGTGAGAACAGTGGATATGATATTATCTTCATGCACAGTTTTTCCATTTTCCTGGCCTGGCCTAGATGAGAATTTTCCTGAGATCACAAGAAAATTGTCCCCATGGGAAAATGAGTATGAAATTCTCTCAGCATATTTCAGGCTCCATTTCCCAGTTGAAGAAGAAGGGTCCATTCTGAAAATTGGGTTCTGCTTAGCTACAATGAGTCCCCAGGAATGACTGGGTAGGCACAAAGGGGCAGGCCTAAACTACTGAGTGTTGCTGCTGGATTCAATTATTTGGTTTTGCACTCCCCCTGGTAGGAACTTCTGTTACTCAGATCTCAAAGGGTGGGTTCTGGATCTCTAGCCAGTCAGATGTTCTTTGGAACTGATGAACCCCAGTATGGGCTAAGGAAGACCCTCAGCTTACTACAGGAAATGCCTTCCAGTCTCTGCCATTTTGGTGTGATACCTACAGCTTCTTAGTAATTGGGCTCACTTATTGGTATGTTCTTACTTTCTTTCTTTCTTTTTTTTTTTTTTCTTTGCAGAACTGGGGCTTGAAGTCAGGTTGTACTCCTTTAGTCTCTCT